TATATATATATTCAAGGCATTTTTATTGTTCATTAGTTTTGTCTACTCATTAAGAAGTTGCCCAATTTAGGAAGGTTTTGCTGTAGCAGAAATGGAATAATATAATATGTTATTGTTGTTATGTCTGTCATGCTTGGAATCATATGCTAGGCAGAAGGTGGGATTATGGCATTTTTACTTTCATATGGTTGTGTTTTGGTCATTTACAAAAATAAATAACTTAATAAATTTTAAAAAATGCAAGAGGGCATTTTTAGATTTTTTCACTGGAATTTGTTTAAAAGAATACTGTTTTTGGGCTCCTAAAGATTTGTGTTTGATGCAATGATCAACCTGAAAGAACTGAAAACCYACAGCAGTTGCCTTCAAAGTACAACTAGTGCACAGAAGACAATKTCAAAATAAAAGTGGAGTATTTGGGTTTTAATGTGGAGTGAAGACTTCATATTTATTTCTGAATTGTGATGGACCTCATGAAATCTACTCAGGGACAGCTAAAGGACCAGATGTGGCTGTTGAATGCCCAGGTGTGCTTTAATATTTCATCTGCTGTTGTTTATCAGAAGCTCTTTTCTTCTAAACCTTGAACAAGATAAAGAGACTTTCTTTTCATAAAACTTTAAACTGAAAGAAAATTTACTTTGTTTTTGCATGACTGTATGACAGCTTTCAATTAGAGGGCATGTATTTCATTGTCTATCTGAACATAACAAGCTCCATTTAAATCTGTCACTGCCCTGTCTTTATGTCATTTTCCCTTAACTCAAATATCTTTCTTGTTTTCATTTGTTATTAATTATTAACTGTATCAGAATTTAAAATAAATCACAAAAAAGAAAAACTGCAAAATAGGGCATTAAGCAAACTTTACTTTCCAGTTTCACTGTGACAGAGGTAACAGAAGCCTGAGAGCGCTTCAATGAGCCCAGAAAAGTAATAGGCCTTACCATTTATTTACATCAACAAAGAATCAGTGATAGACCCGGGCTATTAGTCAGCTGTACAGTGGGAAACAATCCTTTCATGTTAGCATAAAACACGCCTGAGGCTGTAGCGTGCATGTGTGTGTTTGTGCCGGTAGTGTGAAGTGTAGTTAGTGGTGATTCTAGTCAGGAGTGGCGATGCAATGATAATGCCCAGCGAGAAGACCCCCCACCCCCCGCCCGCCTCACTGGCTGCTCCATGAGCTAGCAGCTCCACCTTAGTCTGCACTCAGTGTCACTTAATGTCGCACTGTGTCTGCCTGTGGCAACTTGGCTCTTATTTACTGTGTTGCTTCAAGCTGATAGTGGCTGTAACTTTAATTAAACAGTGCCTCAAACCACTCTTTGCAATTATATTTGTGAGCTGAAGAAACAGGCATTTCACCAAACGGTCAAACACTATGTTTTATCCCGTATTTCTTGCCATTAGTGAAAGACGTTTGTGGCCAGTCTTTAGTATTTATCTTAAYATGGGAGGCCTTTTGTCAGACAGAAGGAAATTGCATGGGTGGCAAAGACTGCTTCAAGTCCCGACGGAGCTGTATTCGTATTACAGATGTTAAACTTTTTATCCCCCTTTACCTGAGCCCACAAATGGGGAAAATGATCAGTGCATTTTCCCTACGCAGGCCTCCTGGATGTCCTAGTTAGGACCGTTTAATATTAATGCCATGAAATAGGGTGTTTCTACAAAATGATGTTCACCGTGTTGAAAAAGCTGATGCGGCGTTCCTAGCCCACTGGGAGAAGAGTAGGCCATCTCTGGCCTCTGGAAAGCTTCCAGGTGGAATTATAGGGCCAAACTACCGGTATGTGAGAGTAGAGAAACTGAAGAGGGTTTATTTGTATTCCACGTGGGTCCATTTATTCCACAGTATGAGTGGTCTCTTTGCTGTTGAAGTAGCAAAAAGGCCTAAAGGACCAGATCAAGACTTCTAGTCCTTTTTTTTAAACAAAAAATGGTGGAGGGTTTGAGCTGGGGGGAACTGCTGTTGTAGACATGTATAAAAACTATTCCATCATTGATTGATTAAACATCGTTTTTGTTAAAAATAAATGTTTGGCTCCATGTGTCTAACCAAATCTGCCTTTGAAGCTTCCATCCTCAGTTCAGAGATGTAGTACATTAATTATTGACATATAATGTTACTATCCTGCTATTTTTGATGGGATTGTTGATTCATATTATTCTGTTTCAAAGCAGCTCAGGCATCGGACACCATTAGCCATGTAGAACAACACAATTCTTTTAGCCGGAATTGAGATAATCACTAATGACGATAATAAAAAATAAAACATGTCTAATCATTGCAGACAAAGACCTTGTTTTATTATTTTTACCTTATAAAAAGCTGTTTATATCTCCATGGTCGCGGGTCGCCACACAGG